GGGGAGAATAATAATAATTAAAAAAAATCAAAACCAAACAAGCCCTTCAACCTTTGAACTGGGTTTTATTAGTTCTGCAGAAATTAAAGTCATAATTTGCTGTTCCCTGAATGACCACCCTGTATTGCACACTAAACAGGTTAGCAGAAATTCTTACCTAATTAGAAAATATGCTGAAGCAAGCAGGTGCTATATAACACAAAACAAATATTGATCACGATTGTCAAATCTATTGCAACATCTAACCATAATCCTCTATGATTTAACTTTGTATAATTACTTTCACAAAAACCTGTCATCAAATACAGGCCCACCTCTTATTTATTCCTGTGTTAGCAGAAAATGGCCACATAAAACTCCGGTTCAGATTTTATTTCTGATATCCTGGCTGTTGTGTTTGTATCGAGTTTGATGCCTAGCCAATTATTCAGTTAAGGGCATTCTCTTCAAGAGAATAAAAGCTGATAAAATGTCCATAAAATCTTGCAAAATGCCATTACAAGGGTCTCATAAACATAACGTTTCTGGTACAGTTTTGGGAAATACACCTTGTGTTGTCCTTTCACAGATGCGAACATGCACAAAACCACTGTAATAACCTCTTGAAATCAGATAATATTCCAACAGCTCAGTTTCACTGACAGAAGGGGCCTGGGCGTAAGCCAAGAGGCCCAGGTGCACTGTGTCATGCCAGTATTTAATGCAGCCTAATATCAGATAGACGCTAGTGAGAAAAAATACTCAGAATAAAGTACAGATAATAGCACGGACAACCACTCATTGCTAAATTACTTCTGCTCATCGTGCTGTGAGCTTTGTATTAAATTTTTTCGTCAAGTGGCAGGAATCATAGGGAGAAGTGGCTCAAAACTCCCTTCTTGTAACCCTGGATAAGGATCTATAATATTAGGCTTTCATATGATAATGGCAAATGATGCCCCTCTTTGAAAAATTTCAGACTGGTAATGAAAGTCCTAATCAGATTGTTGTTGCGGAGAACCAGGAGGTGGGGAACGCCTTTTTTCCCCCCTCCCCCCTGTTAGCAAACGTAGCAACTTGACAAGATGGGTTAAGTCTTGGAGAATTTATCTTACATGAATTTCCAACAAAGCCCGTGGGTTGTTTTATAAAACTGGAAGGTAGTGCTTTAATAAAAGCTGCACCACCTGAGGCATTTTCATTAAAGGCTCTCTCTAGACAACATCACAATGTTTGCATTATCCTCCTACCCTCCCAAGAGAATACAAGCACTACCTTTTCAGCAAGAGTTGATATTGTGTGTGAAGGCACGAGAGAAGACGATTAGATTTTGCTTTTAAACACAAAGTAACTGCTTGCAACAATGGTGTGGTCAGGACTAAAATGCATGGATTTGTCTGGTGCACCATTTGAACAGTATTTTTTTTTTTTTCAGGAAAAGATAAATTCTCTCGGTTTTAATAGTCAGTCATGGGAACGAAGATTTTAATTCTAACGACCCATTATTCTCAACAACAGTACTATTTACGCTATCTGGGCTCTTAAATAATGACAGTAATTAGCCGATTAGGACACTACAGAAAACAGGTGCAAGGCTCTGGAGTGGAAGCATCAATGTACAGTATTAAGGAACTCTGGCATTTAAAATGATTAATCTGTTCAGTGTGTTTAGCAACAGGAAACACAAATCACTGAATTCTGAAACATAATGTTATCTCTGTGGAAAAATTTCACACACAGGCACTGAATGCATATTTAGGAAGGTTCACTGACGTTTTCACCCATTTCTGTGGACTCACCATCTGTGTAGACTTCTCTGCGCAGATGTCCTGGCTGGTGTTTTTGCTTTTTGGCAGGTCGGACCTTCTGTATTACAACAGCACTCATGTTGCTGTCGGTAGACACGGGGCTGGTAGGTCTAGGACAGTGTGATGCATGAAAATGTCTACGGCCTAGAAATTATTACAAAACAATAGCTATTATTTTTCTTATCTAAAATAAGACGTTTCATACTTTCTCTTTTTTCACATTAGAATGACCTAGCTATACCTGAAAACATACTGTTGGAACAAAAATAAAACTCTCATCTTTCCTGCAATCAGTTTTAGAGTGAGCTGTAACTAAATTTGCTATCCTATCAGTAGTCAGGTTGGCTTTGTTGCACAGAAATTATCCAACTGGTTGGTAGCTGGTAGCTCCTGCTCCAGGAAGCCGAACACCATCGGCAGTCAAGCACAGGCAGGTTTCTTGCCTTCCAGAAACAACAAAACATTTCATTTTCAAAAGAGGTTTCACCTCCCCTAGCTTGGGCAGCGTGAGGGCACCCATGCCATGAGCAGAACAAGTCACTGGCAGGTCTCAGGTACAGATGCCCCCTCTGCTGCTTTGAGTGAACCACCACTCGGGGATGTATGGCTGATATTTTATCACAGCTTATTTGCAGATAAGCAGCCTCACGTTTTTGAGATGTGTAGTCAGGTACGGGTAGTATCGATATATAAAAATCACCGCAAAACATGAACTTGACTGTCAGAAAATTATTTACTTATAGTAGAAACAGGATGTAAAAAGACCTTTCCTAAATATATGAATTTACACACATGTAGACACATACATTTTTATGAACATAGATGTATAAAAAGGATAAAATCCTGGCCCCGTGGGTATGAGTGGGAGTTTTGCCATCTACTTCAATCGCCAGGATTTCATCCAGAATTCCTAAATTACCTCCCCTCTCACTCTTCATAACGAACAGCTGTGTTGAAATGAAACAAAGGACTGTTAACTGGGAGAGGATATCAGAAACAGGAGGAAGGTTGCAAATCAGTGGAGTCAGGGTGGACACAGTTGTGACAGAGTACCTCTTCTCCAGGTTTGGCAGTTTAATAGGATTGATTTGTAAAACATTCATGGATCTGCTTGAACTCTGCATCCTGCCCTGTGGTATCATTATTTCTTAGCTGAACTATAACAACATCCATTGGGCCTAGTCCAGTTACTGATTATCTGTACATATCCAGTGTTAATAGTAACCAGTATGTTGTAAAACATTAAATATTTCAAATACCATGCCTCCTATGTCCAGTGGTGATTCAGGAGAAAACTAAGAAGAAACATATGCATAAGGCCTTGTTGCATATTCACAACCTATACTACAACTAGTAACAGTTGTCAAATTATGAAACCAACACAAACCCAGTTCATCTCAGTAATACAGCAGGAAGAGCTTGAACAGTATTCTTTAAGCTATAACAATAAAATACAAAATGTAAAACAATTATATGACAATTTTTTTTCAAATCCAGGGAAAATAGGACTCTAACGGTTTTTTAATATTTGTTTCGACATTTCAATACAGAAGGATTAAATGTCTCATGAAGAGTGACTGAAAACACTGGGAGCCTTATACTAGGAAAAGGATAGAACTCTGTAATCCTGTATTTTTTTTTCTCTCATTCAGTCCTGGGTGCAAATCCACCAGCACGGTTGAGGTTTGGTAATAATCAAGGAGACCAAAAAATGAGGAACTACTTATGAAAAACAAAGTAGAGCAGCAATTTATTTGAACTGTTTCACCAAAACTCCTTTCCTGGCTAGTGTAAATTGATCCCCTCTTCCCGAATTTCTGAACGTTGTAGGAACAATAGGAATACAGGAAGAGGTTGCAGATGAACGCGTTTCACAATGGGCATTTTTTTCTTCTTCCATCAAACAAAGGACAAACTCCCCTCCTGCTGCATCCTGCATTTGACGTCTGGCTACTTTCAGGCCAGCATATTCTGCAGCTGCTGCGACAGCCTGTGCAAAATCTGCATCGGCAAAAAATGATCCATAACGCTAGACCGCCCGCTTGAGATGTTATCTTCTTCGGAGGCTGAACCCCAGCCGTTGATCATGGACCCTGTTACAGAGCTCTCCAAATCCCCAACGCTGGAGGCAGGTGTCTGCTCAAGGCCACGCAAAAGGAGTCTTCTGTTCTGCATCTTGGCAACCTCTATATCTGCCTCATCCTCTTCCTCTTCTGGTGCATCAGTATCCATATCAGAGACCAAGGGGCCTGAGATATAGCCATAGGTATGTGGTGGGGAGATAGGTCTTGGCGGGGGTGGAGGACTCACAGGTTGACGCCTGCATAAAAATACAAGGGTAAGAAGAATTGAAGTCATATAACAGAGTCAGAGGAAACAGTAGATTGACGAAAATATTAATTTTCTTTCCCAACAAGCTTGACTTGCCTTTTTAAATCAATAGAATGTAGATCTGAAAGGTTCAGGGTTGGTTTTTTTTTTTTTTAAGTTTTTATTTTTGCTGTAAATCAGAACTGACTGACAGCTATGTAGTTTGAAATCTACCACAAAGAAATCTGATTTTTTAATATGGTTCCTTTATCACCGAGTTTAATGAAAATTGGCTTATTTTGCCCAAAGCTGTTCATTTTTCCTAAAGTAGCACATGTACAGCTAGGTGAAGAGGTGGTTACAGTTCATGTGACTATTAAAACAAATTATTTGTGCACCCTTGAGAGTATGAGCAAAAGAAGTGTCTGTATATTGCTCTAGAAGCTTGAAACTATCAATGTCAACAGATGCCTCTAACTAAACAGATTGCTCCATAAACATTATCTTCCCTCCACCCACCCCGGTGATTTAGAAAGATATGAAAAGAGATATTGTTATTTCATTATTTTTTATGTTGGTCTAGGTGGTAATATAAAGAAAGAATTCTCTACTGTAACATTAGTTCTAGGTCTTAAAAATACCAAAACGCACACAGATGTATGGGTTAATTTATTTTGAGTGTAAATCATCAGTAATGGTGTCTCCAACTTAAAGATGCAAAGTACTAGATATCATTAGATCAATGCTCAGTTTAGTCAATCCTTCACACAGAAGTCCCAGGTAGTAACATTGTCAACAGTTTTTCTTCACAGGGCCACAAAAGAAATACTTTTTGCAGCAATGTGTGTACTGTTGGCTTTGCTTACCAGGAATTTCTACTGCAGTCTGCTTTAAAAAAATTTCCAAAGTAATTTTCCTTTGTCAAATTTTCCATCTTATTATCTCATTGACAAATGGTGACTCTCATAAATTAAATGTTCTCTTTTTAGAGGGATGTGATTTTTAAAATTTTAATAAATGGAAATACTAATTTTGAAAGGAAAATTTAGCAAGGAAAACCCCAATACTTTGTGGAAAGAGTAAGCTGGAACCTCCCTGGACTACATCATCTAGCCATTGTTTTCCACTTGCTGTATTAAGTACTGAACGGAGCAAACAAAACATCAGTTAGGGATATATATCCAATAATCACTTAATACCACCCCGCCAACAAATCCCAGAGGCCATTGCTGCATGGAAATCTCTACCTGCCTTTGACCAGAGACCTTGCTCAATAAAGTTTTACTGCCTTAATTTAAAGCTCTTGTGACAATTGTCCTTGTAATATATTTGCCAGTCTTCCTATTCTCTAGGTTTTGGTATTAGGAGAAGGGCAACTGTTTACAAAATATGTTACAGTTCTTGAAAATATAGCTGGCCTGCCAGCCTTTAAGGATAGGCTAATTGAGAGCAGCTGGTTCATGGGCATACAGAATTAACAATACTTCATTCACTTTATCACTCACTTTAACACTGACATTGTCTCCTATCTCAGTTCTCACTTTAACATTGACATCATCTGCTGTCTCACTAAATCTTTATTTTTTTTCTCTGCTTGTCCACTGTTCCAGAACACAGATTTCTACTTCAGTTTGCTATACTCCTTGCAAGCTGACCAGACAGAGAAATATTACAGTACACCATCACCATCAGAATCATACTCTAGATGCCTGGTTCTGATCAGAAAGAGAGATAATATTCAGTAGAACTACAAGTGAAGCTAATAAAAAGTATGACAAACAGTATTTTAGACTTTTTTTTCACTATAAAACCACCATTTACAAAACTCCCGAAAACAACACCTCTAAAAGGTATTCTTAATTCAAAAGTATTGTCACCCTAAATTCAAAACAGAAACCCTCCTTCCAGAATGGGCTACAGCTGTTGAGTACAGCATATCCAACTCCTAAACAGCAATGCCATGGGTCATATCGATGCCATCAGATGGAAAAGGTAGTCAGTTGAGACTTACAAATCAAGCAAATAGAATTACGTGAATCTTTTTGAACCGATGAGATAGATGTAGCGAAAAGAAAAGAAACGTTTGAAAAAGTAAGACAAAAAAGATAAATTTAGCCACTAACAATTCTAAGACTTTCAGCAAAGCTAGACTTAACCATGGTAGGAAGAACAAAATAAATATACATTTTATTTTTTCAGTTTACTTAACGAGTAAACTGTATGCCCTAGGATCTTAAATTGGAACATCCTTCCAGATACTTCTGCCACAACTTTTGATGACATTGACGCTGACTAGTCATGAGCCTCTGTGTTGAGCAAATATTCTACTTTCCAGGCAGTTGCTGGCTGGTTATACATGTTTGTGTACATCTGCTCCAATGCCTACTCCATTCTGCATGTCAGTACACATCTCCCACTCTCAGAACATGGTAGCTGAGGTTCTGGAAAGTCACTCACAACAAAAAACTCACTTAGCATTTCCCTTTTCCATTAGTGTCCAGCTAGTTTAACCTCTAAACAACCCAGAAAACTTAAGTGATTAAAATGAACACTTCTGTGCCCTGACGTATCAGGGCCAATGGAAATTACAACAGAATATTATTAGCTACCCACTAATAAAAGGAGTGAGTGTAAAGACTCAGGAATATAGAGGAAGATAAAAAGTGTTACTATAAAGAATAAAGAAAACTAAACAAGGCAGATCAAGTAGAAACAGGGAGAAAGAGTAAAAGCAGATATAGGCCCTTTAAAAAAAAAGGTTAATAACTACTGCTTATTTAAAAAACGGAAATATAAAAATGAAACACTGAATCATAGAATAGTTTGGGTTGGAAGGGACCTTTAAAGGTCATCTAGTCCAACCCTCAAAAAGCATTCTGGAAAATACATCCATAAATATCCAGCAAGCTATATTAATAAAATCAAAGTTTTACAGTCTACTTGGCAAGATCAAATTCATTTCATCATAACAGGCCTCCATTTCAGTGAAAATAAAAAGTATGACTGGAATATTGCAGGTAAGTTTGTATATTTGTGGTAATAAACAGTATGTGCAAACCACTGGAGGAAAAAAAATAATAAAAGAGATATAATTTGGGATGGAAAAGCCATGCCTTCTTAACAAAAAGCAAGACAAGAAAGCATCATACACAAAAAGCTTAATTCAGAATTCACTGTTTTATAGAAGAGAAACTTTGAGAGTATATATGCAAAACAGTTTGTACTAAAAGCAACTCGGAGAAGAAACAAAATTTCCTATAACAAATATCTATCTATATTAATGTTGGTCACTTCCTTAAATAAACGTAGGTGGAAATGTTACGAAAATTTTGCAAGCAATAATTTCCTGTATTTAGATTCATGAGAGGAGGAAAATCTATAGGTCATATAAATTATATATTTATATATATTCATACATATTGGTGACAAGTTAATTGCACAGTTACTGTGAAATAATGCATGCTATTTTATGGTAATAATGCAGTAAATCTATTGGAAACAATGGAACTGTAATTATATGGTAAGCTGTGTTAACGATACCACTTTAATATCCTGATGACTGTGAATTTAACTTGTGTCAGCATCATACATACCATAAAGTGATATACTGCATTTCTTTCCACAGTATAGTAATAAAGCAACTTAATTACGGATTTCTTGGGTTACAAACAGTTCTAGAGTGCTGGATTAGAAGGTAAATACTAACAGAACAAATATCATGGAGAAAATCTTGGCCTCACTGAATTCAATTGGAATTTTCAGTGGGGCCAGGATGACTTTTGTCACGTCTCTCTTGCTACATTTGCGTTGACACACCTCCGGTCAGCCTGGTGTTGTATGTGTCCCAGATCCTCCTGACAATCCTGTAACATGGGCTGGAGTTCTTCCTGGGGAGAGGGGGTGAGAGTGGCAGTTGACTGATGGCTATAAGAGACAGCGGCTGGAGAGGAAGCTGCTCCTCGGACAGGTGGAGTAGGACCTCGCTCATCTTCTTCCTCTTCCTCTAGCTCATCCTGCTGCAGATACATCCTTGCAGGTGGGACGGGACAAGGAATTTCTTGGTCATAGCTAAAATTAATTTTTTAAGAGAATAAAGACTTAAATTTTTACTGTGTAATTAGCATATCTGATACACATATAAATAGTCCAGAAAGAACCATTGTTACATGTGCTCTTGAAAACATCTTAGTAAGGATGTCCTGAGTGGATGTACACCACTATCAGTAAGCTAAATAGCCACACTACAGCTAGTTAAGGAGTACCAGAACAGCACTGAAGGAAGGTCTCACTGCCAGCTTGTAGGGCAAATTACAGTTCAATTCACTAGTGATTAAAGTAAGAAATGGATAATGTATTCATTTTTCTTACCTTTCATCCACTGAAAGACTGTAATCTTCACTATTGCTATGGGGAGGTGGATGTGCTGGAGGGGGTGGAAGAAGATCTGCCCAGTTCATGCCAGCTTGCTTGGGAGCCTTTGGGGTCCGAGCACCTTTCTTGTGCCCTTGACTCCCTATGAATAAAAAGCAGTACATATTTGTAATGCTTTCAAGTATCTACTCACTGCTACGCTTTGAAAAACAAAATAACCATTGTCCCTTCCAGATCCTCTTGATTCCCCTTCTCTGGGAATTTACTGTTGGGCTGAGTTGGAATAAACTGCCGCTCCTTTTTAACACCAATTTGTAATCGTAGCTTCTTTGTAGAATTACTCTACTTTTTTAAGCACTTGAATTTAACCAGAAACTTTACATAGCACAGAAAAAGCACATGGGATACAAAATTTGAATTGCTATAAATAACCAAAATGCGATAAAACCAAAAATGAATTTTACAAGCAATGTCATTAGGAGTGAGCTTCCTATTTCTATTAATTACATTATAGATTATCATCTAAAACAAATGAACTGTAGACATATTTTCTAAAGTGCCTTTATACTATTTAATTGCTGGAACCTAAAATACAATATGATACAGATATGATCTATTAAAGTTCCACTGTTGCATTAAGTCATTGAATATATGTAATTTGTACTTGTCCACTGAAACATTTGAGGCACAATGAAATTACTAGTTTTAGACTAAAGGGCAGGTGCAGTTGAAAATAATTGCTGAAAGAACTAAAATAACAGAAAAAAGAAGAAAGAAGATCGATGAAGTATGGCACAAATGTTTTCAACTAGTATTACTGGGAAATTGTAGCTCATAATACAACAATACAGCTTTAACTGTTCCAATAACTTTGAATACGACCAATTATTCAAGTGGTCTTGGATTTTAACTTTGGACATGGCTATGATGAGAACTCACTCTACCATTGTTTCCTGGTATATGTTGTCATCCTTCTTTGTTATTGTTACTTCTTTAATTGTAGATAAAGTCACTGTATTTTTAAGTATGTTTTAGATTCTGTCACAGTTTTCTCTTCAGCTGAGGCATGGTTTCATATTACCACAGTTATGTCTTATACACATGTTTAAACATGTTGCAGTGAGATTTACAAAGTTTGTTTTTCTTACTTCTGCTGTCTCAGATTTTCTGTGCTTATGGATAGTAGTTCTGCTTATTATTGTCCCACATTAGCTGCCAGATACAAATATGTTTTTAGCTATGTACCATTATTTTTCTGGTACCTCAGTATGTCAAGCAAGACTCTAACTACCCCAAGGCGACCATCATGTGCGTTCTCTACCCTAAGCGCCATGATATATACTAGGTTCAGCACAATTAATTTATTACTCTGGTCACCTTGCTTCACTCCTACCGGAGTCCTTGATATAGGACTACAAATTGTTAGCATTATGAATAACTATAATAGGTGTCAGTACGGAGAATACCACCTTCTCATTTTTAATGTGCATGTGTTCATACCTCTGAAATGTTTCATGCTGAATTTCAGGTCTTAATGACACTGAGCACAGGCTCAGCACCACATACCAGTGTCATAGACCTGGGAATGGGCAAAAGGCTGGCTCGCAGAAGAACACCCCTGAGCAGCTGGGAGAATCCTGAGCAGTGTTTGTCTCACCCCAGCCACTGAGAATTCAGGTCACCCAAAGGCACAGAAGGCTCATCTACATGTTTATGCCTCTGCCATGCCTTAGTCAATAGACGCTAAAATGGAGCACACGTTAGGATTAAAATGAGTGGGCTACCAAAGGCAACAGCAGAACAAAAGATGAAAAGAAAAGTCCTTGTCTTGATTAGTAGATGTAAAGGCCAGGGAGCTGCTGATTGTGACCATAACTCACCCAACAATTAGCTCGATGTAAAGTCACATAGGCTACCTATCAGACTTACAGTAAAGCCTATGTGTAGCTTCTGGTTCAGCTCTAGACATTTCCCACACTGCTACCAGAAATCAAAGGTGAAAGTGAACAGGTTATACCACGATGAGAAGTAATAACCTTTGAATTAAACCATATTCTGTGGTTCCAAAGCACAGAGTGCAATTTCAGTGCCCTGGTCAGCATTCTCCAGCACAAAAAGCCGTCCTGTTTGAAGATTTTTACAAAGGACTTTTAGATATTTTGCATAGGAGATGCCGTTGAGAAACAAAATTTAATTACCTACTGTCTATGAATGATGGACAAGAAGAGTTTTGACATATAGCCACTGAAGTCTGTAAAAACCATATGTATGCACGCATGCATGCATGCTTTTTACTCAATAAAATGCATGGGTTCAATTTAAAAAATGAAAAATTTCTTAAAGCAGTTCTGTTAGGTATCACTTAATGTTCTAATATCTTGAGCTTGTTCATGAATAAGGTTGTCTTGGGTGAGTACACCCAAAAGATGGAAAAGTCGTCACTAAAGTACCAGGAAGGTAATACATAAATTAAAATTCTCTGTTTTTTTGTGACAGCTGAAAAGGAATTTCTATGACTTGCCAATCTGGAGGCCATAATATCAACCAGCAGACTATTAACATTAGGAAATCCAACTTCTATTTGATTTCATGACTTTCATAATTTTGGACAATCAATTACTTACTTAGCATTTAGACGGCACTAAGAAATCATGAGGATGCAACAGAAATATAGGCACCTATTGGGCCAGTTTTTATGCTGTTTAACATCTCTGTGCTGTATTACTGTCAGTGGGTTCCTCCCTGTCATCCGTTCTGTAAGTCCAGCAACTAGTGCTAACTACAGCTAGAGCATCCAAACACCAAAAAACTCCAAGGCTTGGTAACCACAGCAGATACTCACCAGAGGTACTACTGCCTCTGTCCGAGCTGTTGTAGGATCCACCGGTATTCTGGTCGTATGACTGGTTGTACGGAATAGTTGGAGCAACGTTGTCATTTACCCGGTAATCTGCAAGTTTAATAGCGTGGTTAATGCCGCCCTTCAGAAACACATCTACTTTTATATACCTGCTTTTTAACACAAAGTGAAGTCCCTTGAAAATAATGAGGAAGAAATAAACTAATTTTTTGAAAGGAAAATAGCGCTTTATTTTTATCTTGTCTCTAACTATAAATTTGAGGAAAATCATGGGAACTTAGTAGCTCCACGGAAAAAAAAAGAAGTAAAATGAAATCCTATGCACAGGCTTGTAGCAATGGCTCAGCAAGGATTAAGCCTTAATGGATATACATACGACCTGTGTGAGCATTTTGCATATGAATAGACCATCACCTTGATTTTTTCCATGGTCTCTGCTTAATTTATGCATGCAGGGCAGCCAATGGATTGTGGTAGGTACTTTTTGTATTTCGAAGGTGACAAACCGACATCGGAGTCAGCCCTGATTACAAGGGCTGTACAATCCACTGGAGCAACAATGCAGCTCCACTGAATTTGGCTTACAACAGCAGATGTCTTTGTTTAACCCTGCTAGCTTCAAGAAGATTTATATTTACATTGAGTCATGCAGATTCTAGCTACAGGCAGAGCCTTTTTTGCTAGTGGCTGTTACTGTATCTTCCTTCTCCAGTTCCAAAGCACCTGATATACCTGTGTTACTTTTAAATATAGATTTGGCAACCAGATCTGTAAAACCCTATCAGAAGTAAAACACTCATCTGACAAAACAGTACTTTCAGGCCAAAAAGGAATTATATTTTACAGAGAATAGAAAGGAGCTGAGTTACTCTTCATACAGCAAATAAAACTGCATCATAAACAGAACCACTGGACATAAAGTAGTGACAATGAAGCACAGCATGTAACTCATCAAAACGGTTATTTCCCGTCACAAAAACTACAGGTATAATCATCAGCAAGATGGCTTTGACTTAAGAAATGAGAAAACCAAGATCGGAATATTGACTCATAAAATAGGTAATCAAAACAAAAATAAACTAAGAATTCAGTCCCCATCTGCTGCAGAAATGTTTGTCATAATGTAAGCATGGGAAAAAGAGCAAAATGATAAATTCCACACCAGAGTGTATTCCGTAATAGTTTCTCAGCCTAGTTGCATTCCAGAGACCACGCTGAAGCCCTACATCCCGCATATGTTTACACAGAGGATAAACAGTAAATCAACACTCTGAAATATGTATATATGACTGTCAGCAGACAATGCTTTAAGGGGGCCTTTCCACACTACGACATGCTAGAGAATGTGCAGCTGTAATATACACAGTTTGAAAGATGCAGTATCTTCCAGGGCATAAAAATCAAACATGTTTTAATTCCAAAACAGATACGTAATACACAGTTCATGAAAGAAAACATAATTACAAAAAAAAAAAAAATACAGCTTTCACCCTCTAGTAAGGAGTTACAAAAACTGAATTTTCTTTTGACATGTTTATGTCAAGGGAAGGTGTCACACTTTATATTGCCCTTTGAACTCCTCTGTGAGTAGATGGGTCCCGTAGACAAATCAACATTCCTGTAATGAAATGTATCTTTTTACTAGAGAACTTATCACTGTGCCATCACTTGAGTTACAACAATCCATGCAAAAAGTTCCAAGTTAGAATGGGTCCAGTTTCCTAGGGATACTGTTTTGCAAATCAGGTTATTAAAAGAGGTTGCATGGTAGCCTGGAGGACTAGGAAGAAATCACATACCTATTTCTTCCAACTCCCACACATTATATTAAAGAAACATGCCCTCAAGGCCACAAAAGTACATTCTGATGTTTCCCGTTAACACTGAAATCAATTTATTTTTAGCTTCTGGATCCACAGACTTCAGTCAGGGTAACAAAGGAATTTAGTTTCCAAAACTGTGTGCGGTAGCATTGCCTTTCAATATGTGAATTGAAGGCTTGCTAGGAACAAGTCTAAAATGAATTGGATCACTCCATTTGTGTCCCCAGTGTACAACACAATACAATTTTACAGAGTTTGATATGCAAAATTTCATTCGTTTACACGAACATGTAGATTTAATTAGTCTCCATCCACGACTGGGAAGAGTGGGTTGACCTATTTAAAATTTAAGGTAGAGTATAATGTGACTGCCATGCAGCTGGCTTATGAATAAAATATCTGGCCTCTGTCCTAACCAATCCCTTAACTACTATTAAATTTAAATTAATCTCAGATCTATAGGAAATGTGTTTTATTTAACTCTTTTCTAAAGATACAGCTTGTTATTTCTTATAATAAATCCAATATCTGAAGGTTATTGTGGTGCTAATTAACTTTCTGACAGTGCTAACTGTGGATTGCTAAATCTAAAGAGGGAGAAGTCTAAAAGCACCACAGAAGTCTGTAATTGCTGAACCTGAAAGCTTTAGACTCGCAGCACCAGAAGGTCAAAACTCCTCTGATGCCTAAAGAGGAGAAACAAGCTAAAAGCTCTTCACCTTTGTTTAATTTGTTTTGCTCCATAATGTTGTACTGTATGGGTGCAACCTCTTGCTTTTGCTGAACAGAGGGTTTCCAGTGTTTCTCATTCGTATCCCCGCTGCCATTGTTAACATTATTGCTGATATTTGACTGGATGAGTTGAGTGGTGGCATAAGGAGTGGGCTGCCCAGGCTGGCTGACAAATCTTCCGTCCTTTAGATTTGGACTATTGAAGGTTTTCATCTCATTGATTTTGTTACTGAGGTCCACGTCACCGTACACAGTTGACTCGGGCAACATCAGGTTTGTTTGCTTGTTGTCCAGCTGATTGTTGTAATTTGCTATACAATCGGCTAACCACAGAGGAAAGAAAAAAGAAAAGGTCATTCTGTTCGCTTACACTATACTTTCAATGAAATTCCCTTTAAAAATTTTTTTGTGCATAACTATATGGCTTGCCTCCATGAAGCAGAGACACTGTGTTTAGTATTAACTAAATAATTTACAAAATATTTTTTACCTTATAAGCTACTGCTTCAAAAGTAGCGTTCGCTGTTCTGATTCACCTTCTGAATTGTATCGACAATGACTTACCTTGCTGGGCTTTTTCTACAGTGACCATATAAACATTCACATTTTGAGACACTGTTCTCAAAGCAATATAGATTATCCAATCCATAACTGAGAATAAAACAATTTGCATTGAAAGGAAAAATCAACCAAAACTTAATAGTGACATGTCAGTGTCACATGACATGTGACGGTTGCCTCGTCAAATCAACAGATTTAGACTTTCTTGTGATAAGAAACAGATTTTTATGAAACAGACTGAAAAATGATTACACATGACAGAATTAAAGAGATACAGTACAACGTGAAAGGTAACTCAGTATCCAGTAGAAAGTCTTTATTTGATCATCGTTTCCTTGCACAATCTTCTATTTTGGTTTGAAACAAAAAGACAGGAAAGCAATCTGGAACTTTTGCTAATTTTTAGTTGCTTTGGATATTGCAATTAAGTAATGTCATAGTAATACCATTGTCCTGTGTGCTAAATATGTATCATATAGACAGCATGAATTAATTCCTCTGACAGTTATTGCACCACGAGACCGCCACGTATTGCACAGAGTAAATGAGACATGTATTGACGCTCTGGCCACTACTGTGTGAACCAGCATGCCTGCCTTTCCATGTTCTCTTGCCTCTGCATGACAGCAGCTTCACACACTTTTTGTCCTCTCCATATCCAGTCCACTGGAAGAATACTGAATGGAGCAACATAGTCTGTGGGTCAGCAGTTAGGAGGCTTAGTGAAACCAGTATTCAATAACCATTAAGCAAAAATTCTCATTTGCCAGCTGATTGATGCATCAATAATTACATAACAATCACCAGGAATATAGTTTTCCTCTTTTAAAAGATGTGGTATTTATGCTAATGGGTTTAATTCAAAACCTGAAGTCCATTACCTGTGGCCACAATTAATTTACTGGAAAGGGTGCCAAGTACAACTAAGTACAGAATTCAGGATTTGACCATTACACTAAATGAAATAACTACTAAATATAGAAGATGTTCAATTTCAAAATATGCCCTGATACATATATCTTTTTTGAGAAATATTACCTGAAAAAGAGAAATAAAATACTGCTTGAGGAAGAAAACCACTGATCCACGTTTTCAGTGATTAAGGAACAGTACCAGAACATGCCACATACAACTTATCATTGCACATTTCATGCCCCCCAGCTTGTGTTGTTTGAAGGTTTTACTGTTTAATATATTTTTCTTTCTCATGTGAGCTGTTATTTATTGCTTCACAGTCTTCAACTTCTTGATTTCTACTTATTAAATGTTTTAATTTCTGCTTTTTCTCTCACCTACTGAAACCATGCTAGTCTTTCCCTCTTTCTGAGGAATATTATACAATATATATTCCGAGGAATGTAATACAATATATATTATTATATAATTTTATGTAATATAATTATACATCCAGAATATTCTTCAGTCCTAGTAACTCATGCTTTGCTATAATATCCTTGCAGAGTTACATATATTTTTCTACCTCCTTCCATTTTCACCTACATCCAATATCGGTGTATATTTATACAGTATATGCAGTAGGTACATTTTGTTACACAGACACATTAGAATTCCTCATACAAAGTACTTAAACAAACCTGGTTTACCTATATGACAGAAGATGCATTATTTTAGATTTTTTTATAGCATCTACTTTTAGAACAACCCATTCCCATTCTGTAGACTTGGAAGATGCAGTTACTTAGCATAATCAAAGCTATAGAGGGGATATCCTACTCTGCTGCTGCAGAGAATAAGCCAAGCCCGAGCTCACACAATTAAGAATATTGGCCAGATTTTCCAGAACAGAAGAGACCACTATGAGCATCTTGTCTGACCATTAAGCCCATAAGCTCAACGTGAAAGGAAGGAATCACTTTGCAACACAACCAAGTTTAATATAAAAGCTAAACTGAGAAAGAATCCAGTGCGCTTCATGACGAGATGCTATAACAGTTTACAGCCCTCAAAAATGTGTGTTCTTTTCCTTTCCTGAATTTAAGTTTCAGTTACTAGAACTTGATATGTCTGTACTTGCCACAATAAAGTATCTCCGCATCAGAAATGTTTTTACATAGGTATTTGTGGACGTGATATCCTCAGGCAGGGTAAGATGCAAGCCTCTAATGTTAAAATCTCTCACCTTCCTCTGAAGCACCTGGCACTGGCCACTGTCAGACAGCATATTGCAGGAAATGAATTACCACCATCACATTATGACTGGTTTCACATTAATTACAGGAGGTAATGCTGTTCTGCATTTATGCAACTTCACTACAGGTAATCATACTCCCTTTCTGAAGTGCTGGGAAATGCTACTAGCAAAAATCACCTACAGATGTTGGTAGTGGAAAAGACTCATTTTTATTCCTCACCAGTGACACAAACCGGGTTAAAATGAAAGGAATCTAAAGCCCATTTAAAACAAAATGGGCAACGATAAGCGCTTCCAGATACATTTTGCCAACTGTGTTCCCACGGAACTGATCAGGTTTTCTTCAAGAGCCCTCTGAGTCCTGCCCGAACTCCTGGGAACTAACACTTAACATTTCATAATTGCTTTTAGAGCGCAAAGTTAACTTTTCTATCCACATGCCCTAAACAAAACCCCAGCTATCCAATTTTGTACAGAATGTCATCCCAAGGGAGGTTTTGAATGTGACTGTCTTGCAAGTACTGCAGCAATGTTTTATTTCTTGCTTTCCATCACACCCAAACCAGAAGGAAAATCTCACTAGTGTCATTTTGGTGGTACTTCTCCATTCAAGCAACAAGGATGCACAGAACAACCGAAAAATAACCTTATCGGCTCTTTTTCAGATGCTGAAACATTGAACTTTGCATAGCCTCCTTCAGCCTATAGTTTGCTACAACTATCCCAAGGGGACCAAAGAAAGGGATCAAAAAAGGGACCGAAAGCATAATCATGACATAGAGTAGAAACTATATTAAGTCTAAATGCATTGGAAATAAAACCCCAAAGCAACTTGTACACTCTCTCAGGTATTAGAAGTATATGCTCTGTAAAGAAGATTCCTTAGCAAGGTAGAAACATATCTAACCTGGTCGACTGTATGTCGTAAGGTTGCTATCACTGTTTCCATTTCCAGAGGTGCAGCAGTTGATGGAGCAGTCATTGTGATTGTTCCCTGTGTTAGGCCAAGTATCTGCTAGCCATGGCTGAGTGGCTGGTTCGCTGATGTTTAGGAGTCCTGGCCTTTAAAAACAAAACTTGGTCATCTCAAAAATTAAACGAAAGCATTTTCACATTTGCAATTATATTCTCAAAAGATCAGATTATAAATATTATCATATATTTAAAGGATTGAGCACTGGAAAATACAGCATGAATAAATTATTTAATGGTTTCTAATCTGCTATATAACCTGTATCTTGCTAAGACACTTTGAAGTGAACAGCCCAGGACAGCATCAGTTCAGTTTGCTGAACTCCACGTATATGTTGGTGTGTAACCTTTACCTATCACTTTGGTGTTATTTTGTTCTTTGTTTGTTTGTGGGGTGTGTTTGTGGGTGTCCCGTCCCCCCACAGTGTTTTTTTGTGGGTTTTTTTGTGATTTTTTTTTTCTGAGGAGGTTATATTTTTCTTTTTCTGCTCCTTCTCCCTTTCTCCAAGAAAGCAAGGTAAAAAAGGCGAAATTGGCAAGTCAAACAAACAAAAGATTCACACATGGGAACAAGATGAATATGTAAAAATACGAGTCAAGTTTGGATGTGAATACTCCCAAATTCTTGGTGATGTATGAAGCCAAGTTCTCCTCACCATCAGATAGTACTACTGAAGTGGATCAAAGGGAACAGCAGATTACAGAAATCTCTGTTGCTTGGGAGTATTTGGATCTCACTAAGCATAGCGAGTGTGTGATACATCTTTGTTAATGAGTAAGCCACTCGCTTAATCTTTATGTGGGTGGAACAGCAGCAGCTCCTAAGCAAGTTTAAAGTCACTGGGAATGCTCAATACCTTTAAAAACATCCAGATATCAATGCTGCGTGTTGGCTGCATTTGAAAAAAAAAGTATATTCCTGCCATCGTTAGAAAAAAATAGCATTCCTTGGTTTCCAAGTTGCTGAATTTTTCTAGTGAGTGTGAAAGACGCTTTGATGGACGTTTTGTGGAATCTTTGGTGCCTCTTCAGTTTTCACACTAACAATGCTATGAGCGTGTTACAAAGTCCCGCATAAGTAGCATCCCCTAATAACTTAAAATTGCCTTTGATAACTAAGGTGCTTTTAAAAAGAGATAATTTTAGCCACTGTCATATATTAGAAAAAAAAAGGAACACAGTCTCTTTCATCACAAGATTTAACAGGCAACTTTCCATTTGAAAGAGTGCAGAAACTAGTCTCTATAATATCAGATGCGATGCTCTTCAAAAATAAAATATGCTAATCCTCTTAAACTGCAAGCTGAGAATACTGCATGCAGTTAGTCGTGGGGGATACAGTCTGCAAGTGCTGCAGGCTTAAGTCATAGTCTAGAATGACATTTAAAATACATATATATACATGTATATATATTTCTGAACTGCATATGTCATCTGACAATTTAACATAGGAGGTGATGAGGCTTGACTTACTGTCAGGCTAACAAACCAGCCAATATATATGCACTAAATGAGTATTTTTTGTAAATCTGAAATAAATGTACAGCTCTGTAATCCTGCGAGCAGGCCAGCTGATTTGAAATACCTTGCTTTTTTCCTTACCACTCTGTTCTTACAATGAAACTACACCTCAAGGCACTTGGAGGAGACAAAGCCTTCCAGAATGTTTCAGCACTTTCAAGACCTGTGTACTGGACTTTTGTATACAGAGTTAAAGGTCCTTTGCTTCTAAAATTTACTTTGCGTTCACACCTGCTGTCATGTAAGAAATGGAGTGTGAAGTATACACATAGACGAAAACTTTGCTAATTGGAACCATTTAGATGCAACCGTGGGTAAGAGATGTTGAGATTACAGCTCCATAGCCTGGTGATGATCAGAGATCATAATTTCCGGAGATCTTTCATCTTTGCAGCAAATTCCTTGAATCCTTGAATCACTGTACTGGGTCTGGGGTAGGGGTGGACTGAGCTACTGGATGTGTGGGTGCCTAGCTGCTGGCTGGAGTCAATCCACCACAATTACCATTACTTGAATCCTGTCTAGAAAAGGGATTGACACAGAAATGCGTATTTTTTTCAGCATCGCAGAAGTGGGGATTATGTTGAAATATATCACTGTGACATTTTGAATTCTGAATAATGCCTTAACATGCTCACATAACTGCACTTGGCAAAAATGCTAAACCTCTCCAAAACATTGCAAATGTAATGTAAGGAAGTGAAAACCGTAGGTTTGGAAATCAGAGTAAAGGTTTCATATGTAAAAATAACTTTTTTTTTTTTTTTTTACACTGTAGAAGTATGTTTCATATTCTACAAAATACAGTACAACAGCATACATCCTGTAAATGCTATATATGCAAATTAACAAAATAAGCATAGATGTTAGCACCTTGGATCAATTACACTGCTAGATTGTGGCACTGATCCTTAAAACTAGGACAGTAAAAATGATGCTGCTTCTCTAGCACTACCAAAGTGACTGTATATGGTGTAGACACTTCTGGGTTCATTTCTGTCCTCTGAGTCTATGTGAGTGTGCTTTGTCTAGCTTGTGCTATGGGAAGAGCAAGAAAGCACGGTGGCACAAAGAACACAGAGGATGTTAACTGCGTATCTTTTTGAACATTTTAAAGAGAGAGTTCATCTCTGTTCTCTCTTATTTTCTCACTATCCTGGGGTGAAGGCAGCAACCCAGTGATTTACAGATTTGTCCATTCAAAAATCACATGGTAACTGTTCTAGAGGTTTTCCTCCATGGTTTTATGGCTACGACAACACAGCAGCATACAGCGCTGGACAGGGA